GGAAGGCACAATCTTGATGAGGATATAGAGGCAGAAGGGAACAGCAGGTATTCAAGATTCTTCTGAATGGCAAGGCTGACTACAAACCCCACACTTAGAATAGCACGGGGTTTCTTATCTCCCTTTATTTAAAATAGAAAGGAGCTCTTTTTGAGTGAACAGCAAGAGTGTTTACAGCAAAAACATGACAGGTAGTAAATATTTTTTTCTGTGCCCCTAATAGAAAAACACAGTAGTGAGCTCAAATTGCAGTAAGAGACATTACATATAATGATAAAGACAGATAAGGTATAAAAAGACTTCTCAGGACTGAAGGTCTCCTTCACTTTAAGAACAGACTTCAAGTCTAATTGGATGAATCAACTCAGTTGCAGAGAGCTCTCTCCTGAGGCCATACTCTCCACTATTTTTCATTAGCACAGTTTGCATGACAAAAGAAAATGTGTATTTATGAAATACATGGCGAAAGCTTAAGCTGGGTGGTTCTCTGAGCATGCTGATGTATAGAATGAAAACTCAACATGTTCTTAAGAGACCGAGGAACAGATCTGCAAATAACTTTTATTTAGGCATAGACAGCATAATAAAGCATATGTAAGTATTAATCTAACCTGAAGTCACATGACTTCAAGTGAAAATGCTGAGATTCTGCCATCAGTAACACTGAGTCAAGCTAGTTCCTGGTAACTTCTGCTATAATAATAATGAAATATTACCTAATAATACAAGTAAATATGGCTATTTACAAACAATTAATTTGAATAATACTCCAGGCTGTCAGAAAACACTAATGCTGTTCAGAGCCTTTTCAAAATGTTAACACTATTACTTCACATTTATGGCACGGCAGTGACAGAGATGCTGGTCAGGTCAGACACCCACTGTGCTACACACGCACACTGTACAAACACAGAAAATTATAGTCTCTGCTACACACAGCTCCTAGCAGAAAATTCCAGCTGTTTAACACTCAAAGCCCACAGAAAGGAAAAGCTCAGCCCCTTCAGATATGCCTTCCCTTTACCACTCAAAACTGTGGAGTGGTGCTTTGCTCTGTTACAATACATAGAAGCTGATATTAAAACATAGCTTGACGAGGAAAGGGATAAACGGCAAGCAGGCTATTTCCTAAACAGCTGAGCAGTGGCTGTGCTCCACCAAGCAGGCCAAAGCTCCCTGGGTCCCTGCCAGGCCGGTGTGACACCCCAGTGGGGCCCTCTCTGCGCCACATCTGGACCTGGTTACACAACTGCAGCTCGCGGCTCTTGCATCAGCCTGGCCCCTCCAGAGCAGCAGCCTCCCAGCCACTGCCTCTCCATCAGCTACCCACACAGACACAGTGCCCTGGAAGGAATAAATTGGGACCACATTAGCTGGCGACCCCAGCCCTGCAATGGCCCTGCCTGTCTGATGACAGAGGAAATCCCTCATCCAAACTGACAACCAATATGAAACAGGCAGCTGCATTTACTGGAGAGCCTGGTCAATGCCGAGTGCCTCATTAGGAAATGGGCTCTATATTGAGGCACATTCCTGCAATTCAGAGCCTAGAAACTCTAAATTAAAACAACATTGATGCCATATCCTCTTTCCAAAATGCTTCTCTTCATCCAAACTTTAATTCACATACTTAGAGAAATTAAAGAACCAAAATGTCTTTGGCAGGACCCCTTCCCTCTCTTGTGCAGCAGTACCCTTCCCATGTGAGTGGCCAGGAATGTGACAGCGTTGGGAAAGGGGAGAACACAAGGAATGACAGCAGACCCTTCCCTTGACGAACCTACATGTCTTCACTGATACTTTTAAATAAGCAAAATCACAGGAAATCCTTTGAACAAGTTTTTGTTTTGTGAGTGTTGTACCTTTCTACACTCTAAGAAAGGTCAATTAACAGCAAGTCAGGCAATGGTAACCAGCACAAGCAATGAAAAGTCATGATCCAAATCCTACTGTACATGCTTGGATCCATTCACACTCACTACTGCAGCACAGTCAGGAAACTGCTTTCCTAAAGTACTCTGTCAGAAGCTCTTCCCAGCCTGCAGTGAGATTCAGCAATGTTGGTACCACAGCCTGCATAACTCTCCCCACAAACCACCCCTTCCCATATTGCCCAGCATTGCTGTGTGCATCCTACGCAGGCAGAAATGGGAATCTTCAACTCAGCTGTGTCTGACCACCAACTGACAGAGCTGCTTTCCCACCACAAAGCCTAAGCATTTCCTAGGAATGGGATGGACTGAAATACCGAATACTAATCAGGGAGCTCAACAGCTCTGAAACACGAATGACTGAGGTCAGGATCCCAGCTCTGAATCTGAAGGGTTGAATAAACTTTTTGAGTTCCACAACTGCTTTTCAAAGTCTTCCAGAATATCTTAATTTGTGGTATCACTTGGCTTCCTTGAACAGCTGTGTTTAATACATCTTCAAGTCTGAAACAGTTTTCATTCACAATTTCTACTGTAAATTTAAGAATTACAGCTAAACTTTTAGAGAGTTCCTGAAAGGTGACATGGACATGGTTCTGTGGAGCTGGCAAACAGATGGACCCTTGCTCTCAAGATGCAGAAAAGGGTCCATGTAGAGAAGGCTTAAATTAAGGAAGGAGCATAATCTTTTTTGTTGGAAAATATGAGGCTGGTGACCTGGAACAATTGAAGAGGAGTGCAAGGGCCAAGTACATAGAATATTTGCAAAGCACATAGAAAAATGAGATTCCCCTTGACTACATCAGTAATGAAGATCCTGTAAAATCTCACAGTCATCTCTTCTGACCCATCTCCTATTTCTGGGGCTGTCAAAGTTGGTGTGATTTGAATTTATTCAGAAAAAGTACATAACAAAACTACTGGCACTGAAAAAAAATAATGGAATTTTAGATTCTCTGCAGCTCATAGAGGTGATGAGTAATACTCTCCTATAATAAGCAATGAGTTCTTCTATCAATGTGTTGAAAGCTGCACACAAAAAAAACCGGATACAAGATGACACATCCTTTAAACACAAGACAGAATTTAGGGAGGATGTGTCAAATCTCTGTTTGGTCACATAAATATTTCTCAGGTATGTTTTAAATATAGTTTAGATTGTTTATATGTAAACATTTATTCTGCCTTGGGGATTGTGGATGTACTGGAGAATACCTGTGAATTTATACTACACATAAAACTTTTATTTATCCTATTCATAGCACAGATGTGTTGAGGAGATTACTTTCTGCTTTCTTCATAATTTTAAGATTAAAATCTTAAACAATCTTAAACAGTGACAAGTCTTTATAGCTGATGGCAGTTTTGGAACCAGAATAAAATCTTCAAAGGCATTTCAACAGCCCAGTGAATTATTTGAAAAAGGACTATCACTCCCACCTAAGATCATGATTGTTATCATTACGTACCAGGAACAATTTCAAATTAATCTCCTTTGCAACTTTCGTTTATTTGGGAAATTAAGTAACCCACACATACACAGAAAACTACTTAGAACAGGCATCCTTAAAGGAAATGTCTCTTTAGGAAGAGTTTATGATATTGTTAAGACTTACCAGCACTGAAAGATAACAATAGGAATGACAACATTTAAAAAAATTATTTACCTGAAACCTAAGTCATTACAGATAAACACAATGTTAATATGTTAATTAAATATACACAAATTTTCAGCAGAAAAAGCTCACCACAAAATACTACAGATTGTTCCAGCTACTCACAAAAGATAATCAGAAGGAAACTGGGAAAGGCATGAAAGCACCTGAATTTCAGCTTAAGACAACATGAACTAAGAAATGTTCATTTCTCTTGGAATGAGTGGTACCATAAATTATGGCTGCTGCATCAACAATTACATGAACAAAGCAAGTAGCTGATATTGCTGTGACCACTTCTGATTCCTGTTTTAGCAGATCACCTGGCTGACCAGTGACAGTAATTACAACTGTTGCTCAAAAGTAAATATTACAAGACTGTAACCTATACTTCTTGCTCATTCTGAAGCTGCTACATAAAACCCCTAAAAGTACTGTTCTTCAATTAAACCATAAATAATTATCTTAAACAACATGGCCAACAACCTTCTTGTGTTTGCTAAGGAAGAAGCACAGAAATCCCTTATCACAATGCCCTGTTTTTGTCTTATGTTCTCTGACAGCAACAGAAATCATCTGTTTGACAGATGAAATGTTGCACATAAAACTTTATGAAGATGGAAATAGTGGCAATGAAGAAGCTGATACTGGATTGGCAGCAGCGTATGTGCTATTATGAGGAATGTGGCAAGGGAATAACTCAGGAAAACCCACCAGAAGTGCTGAAGTGAAAAATCTACACAGATTTTTTCAGATCCTAAATCTCTTATTGCCAGGGATGCCTTTTGCTTCCTCTGTGTTTTACTGGCAATGTACTTTTCACATTGCATTCAGTACTGGAACATAATATTAAATGCTTGAACAGAAACACATTTTTCTAATTGTTATGCCAACACAGAAAGATCTTAGAAACGGGAGAGGCCAGAAATAGGAAGGGACCAATCTCCTCACAAGCACAAGACCTCCCAGAGTCTATTCTAGAAGCTGGCACATGGTGCTCCTGTGGCAATCACAAATCCCAGGAGAGACTGTGGGGTGTAACATTCATATTTGAGCTCCACAGTTAGGAGAAGTTCCTTCCAATTAGGCTTCTTCCCCAGCAAGGCAAATACAACCCCCCGAGAGAAGTATCACTGCTTTTCCCTGAATCTCTGACCAACTGTGCCTGTAGAGGACAATAACCAATGCCCTCTTCATTCACAACTTCCTATACATCCTGTCACAGATTTACTACTCAGGCAGTGACATAAAGAAAACTCCCTCAATGCTGAGTCCAGCAGCTCCTTTGAAATTGCTATTTATGCAATTTCTGTCCTAACATATGACAGGATTATACATTATTAGTTCCATAAATCATGGTAATAATCCCATATCAGATTATTAACTGGATTTTTCCTAGCCCTCCTGTACCCACCTGCTGCTTGAGCTGTTGCACAAGTCGGTCTTTCTCTCGTTTCAGTGCAGCCACTTCATCCTGAGTCTTCTTCTTAGAGGATGAAAGCTCTAGCAGAGCAATATTGGCATCTTTTTCACTAATGGCAGCAAGAAGGGCTTCTTGTCTGGAAACAACCCAAACAAATTACATTATTATCCTGCAAAACTTAGAGGACTTCTCTACAAATATTTGAATATACCATAAATGCTGTACCAGTGTGCAACTCTGAAAAGCAGTAATAAATATTTTTCTCAGGGCTACATGTCTGTTGGTGGAATAGGAAGTCAAGACCCACACATCTCCCCTTTAACAACTGTGCTGATACCAAATTGCAGCTTACAGGGTAAGAAAAACACATTATGTCTTCTTCTGCACTCACCTTCTCCGTTTTTAATAACTATTCATTATTACTTCGGTTGAACATTTTCCCATACTCTTTCCCTTTAGCAGGAAACTCTTAGAAATAGAATTCAGAAACATTTTATACATATTGGGAAGAAAGGAGATGAAGATAATCATCCTAACTGTAAAACAGCAGTTCTCAAAGGAAGCCAGAGGATTGATTATGTTAGGGAAAACAACCTTTTGTCTTTCGGCTTTAATTCACATCTTTAGCTGGTGATATGAACAGGATTTCAAAGAAAACCTTGGCCTTATTGCCCAGTAGTATTGGCTTTTCTCACCTCTCATCACCTTGCAAAGAAGGAATAAAATGAGGTCCTAAATGTATGGCATCATGCATGAGTGATGATGAAAGACATAGTGAATACTGCACATTTCTTACCCACATTTCATCTAAAAATAAAGTTGCAAATGCACTTAAAGTTTTGCTGCAGCACTCAATATCAAGAAGTTTATTATCAGGATCCCAATTGTCTCAAAAATGTGAGAAAATCATGTATTTCAAGAGGAAAAGGTGTGTTTCCACAGACAAAACTGTTCACCATGTGACTGGACAGTGGACTTACACAACGGACTTTCTGTGTGTGGAATTTCTCTCTGGGTTTACACAGGTGTTTCTTGTACAGTCCAAGAGAGTCAGCTTGCTTTAAATGAACTACCAGCATATCAAAAAATCTCAGAGATCCAGTGTAGGGTGTACTTGGATTCTCCCTAGATCACATCTAGAAAAACATTATTGTTTGCCTTTCAAAATATATTACCTGAAGTTAAAGCAAATTTTTTTAGGTACTTCAGGATAAAGTATTCTAAATACATTTATGAAGAAATACAAATATTCTGGTGACTTAATGGAGGCAAACAGTAAAAGAAAGGAAAAGGTGGACATCAGATTCCCAGATGTAGTGTCCCAAGATTGTAGGTGTGGGAACGATGGATAATGGGCGTGTTATTATTGCCGTTTTGTTTCTGCTGCTTTTGCTTTATGGAAAACTATCCAGTTTTGGATGTCTGCCTGAAACATGAAAAATACCAATAGGGTGAAGTGACAGAACATGATCCATGACCTCTGCTTTTTTTTCCAGCTATCGGTATCCTGGGAAAGACAGGCTGGCTTGGAGCTCTGGTCATTTTCACTTTCTTTAGAGTAATCTGTTTTGATTATAAAGAAACACTTATTCTTTTAATAGTAAGCCCACAATCCTCGCTGATGATTCAGGACCAGAGCCAAGAATATCTCCGTAACTCTATCTATGGAGCCATTACTCTGGTATGGAAATTGGAGGTGCCTCAAATAGCATGTAAGCCATATACCTTCTGCAATCAAATCCTTTGTTGCCCATCTCTGCTTCTTAAATGAAAACCCCAAGGAAAGGAAAATGAGATATGGATAGAAGTCCATCACTTTTCTTCTGCTGAAAAATCTTTGCCACCATGTCTTAGAAAAGAACTTCCTACTGGCCAAAACTTCAATGCTATGCTGTGAGGTGAAGGTGCTGGTCAAGAAGTGGGGTGAGAGTCATTGTGGCTTTCTGACTGTTTTCTGGAACTGAAACAAGGTGAAGTTTGAACAAAAGTAAGAAAAATGCCCTGTGCTAAGTGCATTGTAGCTGCATTTTTTACTTTAGCAAGCTAAACATAAACTGCTCCATGTGGGAGAAGTGCAGGTGTCATTGTCAGCTCTGCTGGAAGGGACGTGTCTGTATGGAAAGCTATTGTTCAGCAGAGCTTGCAATTGCCAAATGATTCCAAGACCATTAAAAGGACGCACTGCCAAGCAAAAGACAAGGCTTCTGACTGAAGAGAATGACAAAAGTGACTTATTTCCTTTCCTGAGAGCTTTATCCCAGGAAGGCCACTAGAACGTGCTGTGAGACAGGTGATGTGTCAAGAAGGATAAAATGGGCTGTCTCAATGAACAAACCTATCCACCAGTGCTGCAGTCAGTCCTGGAGGCTTGGCCTCTTCAGCAAAATGCTTCTCCTCAGTTCACAACATTGGAGGTCCTGAGATGTTCTCATGAGCAGGCAAAACATGCTGCACAACCCAAGGATGCTGATATTTTCAAATGCTGGCTAGGGCCAGAGTCACTGAATGCTGACTGAAGTTAATTCAGGTATTTCAGATGCTGGTACTAGTGTAGTTGTGCCAACATCAACTCAGCAGGGGAAAACTGCCTATTTATCTCTCCACTGGAGCAGGTTCTGCAGCCTGCAGTGAGCTGTACAGTGGCTCACAAGAGGTAAGCAGGCTCTGTAATAGACTGAATACTACCAAAGGAAACCTGAAATGGCAATGGTGCAGTAAAATCTAGTGAAAACAGTTTCAAGTTTTCCTCCAAATTGGAAAAAATGTGAGATTAGTTTTTTCCTTCTATTTATGCTGAAGCCTTTCACTTAATGTGGATCAAGAGCAATACAGACTAGAGTGCTATCAAGACCAGTAGGTTTAATTCTTAAGAGACAATGATGGATACAATCTCAAGATCAGTATCAATATTATTTGCTCTGTTTGCAGTCTTCAAAAAATAATGTGAAGAAAGATGGGCTTGCCTTTTTAAAAGAGATGACTACAGAATAGTTACAGACTAGTAGAGCACAGAGATTTGACAACATACACAAAGAACAGTGTGCAAATGCATGTCTCCTTCAATTCTTGAACAGAAATGTCTTATTTGGGGCTACTATTACACTACTACTAACTACTAAAATAATAGAATCAAACTGTCTTCAAATGGGTTTCTATGGCACTTGGTTTCAGAAGTTTTTGTAATTCCTCCACAGCACTTTCCTAGTAAAGGAGAAGACTTTTGGTAAAACACAAGGAGGTGAACTTTAAAAAGCAGTTTTGTGCTTTGCAGTACTGTTCCCAGGGTCATAGCACTAGAATATTTATCAGCTGCATAATTAGAAAGAATAACAGACTGTAAACAGCACTGAATTAATGATGCTTCAAAACATGAAAACTATACATATTCATTAAAAGAATATGTTTACATATGTCAGAGAGAACACTTATTCCATATAGAAATGATATAAATATATTGTTCTATGAAATTTTATTTCAAAGTATGAAATCTTTTCCTATCTGGAGTATTTCTGAAGTGTGTATGAGATAATATGAAAGCAATATCGATACCAGCAGCAGCTTTGATTTTAATGTCATGGAGGAACTGGGATAATTCCTAATTATGCTATAGGATCAAATTTGTTTTCCTTCTGACTGGCATTAAACTAAAGTATTTAAAAGTCTGACACAAATTTTAAAAGCTCAGGTAGCCAGAAGCTCAAAGCAATCCAGTCAGCTCCTTCAACAGAGACTGTTGCACTTCCACGAGGGGTGATTAAACTGTCAGCATTTTCAAGCTGGCATATTAAGATGAACTGTAATTATGGCTGTTGTGCCTTTAGTATACAAGAAAGATTCTCTTGTTTTGTGGACTGTTTACTCATGGTAAGGGAATCAATCACCACAGAATGACAGAGGTGTCACTCAGAAGGGACTTGTTTTGGTTGTCTGAGTTTTGTCCACTGCATTTACTGGAAGCCTACAGAAAATGCTGCTAAAAGCTTTTAATGCTTTCCTATCAGAGACATCTGTCAGATTACCCTGGTGAATCACTATCACACTAAGAACTGCATTATTTGCATATGAATTAAAAACCCTCCCATGATGTGAAAACAACAGAAAGAACTCGCAGACAGACAGATTTGGATACAGTACTGTAGTGTTATGAGAGCTAGACAGACAGGCAACAGCTTAGAACATAAAAGCACTGGGACATGGCATTCAGTAATTTCATGCATTTAGCAGAATGACAGGGTTTGGGTGGGTCAAACTCAATAAACTCTTAAAAAGTAATTAGGAGCACAACACACATTGATTCAATGGGCCAGAACCCCTGGCTCCAACATCATCCTTTTCATCATAAACTGTGTTTACCACTACAACAGTAGTTCTCAACTCCACATTCTTTCCTACTTTTTTGCTCGTTATAGAACATCTTCAGTAAATTAAGAAACTCTGACTTGCAGTCAGACCTCATAGAAAGGAGACAGTCCTTGCAGAGCTCTGGTATCAGGATTTGGTTCTTAAAAGTAACCTTGAAAAAGGCACTTATACCAGTGAATGACATTTAATGATGCTAACAGACTAGTAACTCACTTAATATGCAAGCTGCCAAATTCTCCACCGGCTGTAATTTCTGCAGCATTTAAGATGCAGCTTGAAGTATCCCAAAGTGAGCAAACTGCTATCCAAAAGAAACAGTAGCTACCTCTTACTGCAAGGGAGTGGGAAAAAAATTTAACTTGGCAATAGGTACTACCTGCTTTTTTTCATTACAGCTGGGAATAATCAAACCTCAGGCTGCAAATTAATTTCCGAAGTACAGCCTTAAACCTTCAGATAAAAGGGATAATACCACACTCCTTCCATTCCAGTACTTGCTTCCTGAATCAGCACATCACCTTTGCCTGGCCTGGCTGGCACATCAGCAGCCTTTCTATTCTCTGGTCTGTGCTCCTACAGCTACAAAACAGAAATTGAGAATTCAAGCAAAACAAATGAAGATGAAAACAAGAGGTTTTTTGTCATCAGCGACTTGAAGCTTTTTGAATGTACACCTTTCCACTGGTCTCTTCAATGTCACTGCATAACTGTGACCACAACTGGAAAACAAGATAAAATTACTACCTGCTTGTGAATACAGGTGTTTGGTCACAA